CTGGTCATCTCTACGGAACGTGCCACTACCGCCAGGCAGGACTCCGTGGTTTTCCTGTTAATGCACCTCGACCACGAAATGGTGAACGTCCCTTCGAAATTGAAGAATACCTGTCAGGTCGTCAAACCTCAAGTGGCTTCCAACGACACCAACCCCGGGCAACGACAACGGGGAGGTATAGATCGCCTAGCCGCCGACCTTCAGCAAGCTCCCCAAGGTCTAGTTCCCCAAGCCCGCGTCGGGAAAACTAGAGTCAGCGACCTGTGGAGGCAAGGCCGCTGTCGACGCTAATGCAGAAAAACCTCCATTGCTGACTCTGAACAACGACCGATTCAGAAACCGGTGCTTCGATAGTGACGTTGCTTCCGATTTACGTGTGTTCGTTGACGGCTACGAAGTCATCGGACTGGTAGATACCGGCGCAGATTATTCAGTGATGAGTCGCAGACTTTCTAAAATACTAAAGAAAGTGCTGACTCCTTGGAAGGGACCACAAGTTCGCACAGCAGGAGGGCACCTCATCGACCCTACTGGAATATGCACAGCAAGAATCGGAATACGGGGTTTCACGTACGTCGCCAGTTTTATTGTGCTGCCGGAATTCTCAAGAGACTTGATTATCGGCATGGATTTCTTACGAGCTAATGGCGCTGTAATTAACTAGCGAGAATCTTCCGTCTCGTTCTCGACTAGGCACGCGATTGGTACAGCTACAGCAGACTCATATGTAGAAAAGACAGAGACAGTTAGCTACTTCACGTGCATCATTAAGTCAAACAGCATTAGCAAGACAGCCAAGACCAAGCAGCAAGAGATAGTGGATATTGATAAAAAAAATCACAAAAAGCAACAAGGCATTGCATAAGAACGGTTCCTTAGTTTTCATATCTGAATAAAGGTTTGCAACTTGTGTCATACTGAAAGTGCTTACATATGGAACTTTAAAAAAAAACTAAGACTGAAAGTGTCTAAAGAGAAAATGTCATTGCAGTCATGTTTTTGACGTCCGCTACAGTGATTTCGGTGAATTCTGGTCAGTTCAAGCATTTATCCTCCCCCGAACAGATGGTAATTGAGTTTCAAACAGGCAGTGTGGTCCTTGAAAACTCGCACACATAGCCTTAAAAGTCCTTGAAAGTCCTTGAGTTTTCGTCATGTAAACAAGCATGAATCCTGGGTGCACTTGTTCGACGCCATTAAAATAGACACGAATGTAATCGGCTTTGTAGTGTGCTTCGAAACGGAAGAAAACGTATATGACCTTTGTATTGCAGATGATGGCGTCATGGTTCCGCCAAGATCGAGCATATCTGTCGCAGTAAACAACAAAGCATTCAGTGAATTCGAAGGATTTGCTGACAACACTGCCTTACTACTCCAAAAAGGAATCTGCATGGCACGAGGCCTTGTTAAGTTACGTGACGGATGTGCAAATGTTCTACTCACAAACTTTGGAAATGAGGTGCAGCACGTTGCAAAAGGAACCGTCATCGCCAGTCTGAATGATTTCGTCCAGGTTACGGAGCTGCGAACTTTTGAAACCAATGATTCTGATTTTGAAGACGTGGAGTCTGTCCTTGCAGCCATCGACATCGAGCCAGGCCTACTATCAAGCGAAAAAGAGCAAATAGAGGGTCTTTTAAGGGAATTCGCCGATTGTTTCTCGTTGTCATCTAAGGTTCGACGCACTCCTGTCGCCAAACATCGCATCATTGTCGACGAGTCAGTGAGGCCAATACACCAGCATCCCTACCGAGTGTCACCAAAAGAAAGAGAAGCTATTGGTAATCAGGTTAAAGAAATGTTCAAAGACGATGTAGTCCAGCCTTCATCAAGTCCATGGGCGTCACCTGTTGTTCTTGTGAAGAAAAAAGACCAAACCTTACGTTTCTGCGTTGATTATCGGAAGCTGAATGCCGTCACCAAACGGGATGTTTATCCTCTGCCAAGAATTGATGACACTCTGGATAGGCTGCGAAATGCCAGGTATTTTTCCTCATTGGATCTTAAAAGTGGGTATTGGCAGATAGAAGTGGACGAAAAAGATCGCGAAAAGACAGCGTTTGTGACACCGGACGGTTTATACGAGTTCAAGGTACTCCCTTTTGGCCTTTGTTCAGCACCCGCCACATTCCAACGGATGATGGACACAGTGCTTTGTGGTCTTAAATGGCAGTCATGTCTGGTTTATCTCGACGATGTTGTAGTTTTCTCTGCTACCTTTGAGCAACATTTGGAAAGGCTCCGGGCCGTGCTCACTGCAATCAAATCAGCGGACTTGACGATAAAACCGCAGAAATGTCATTTTGGCTTCCGTGAGCTCCTTTTTCTCGGCCATGTCATCAGTGCAGAAGGCGTCCGCCCAGACCCTGCAAAAACTGAGGCCGTAGCAAGATTTCCGAAGCCAACAGACAAAAAGGCTGTTAGGCGATTTTTAGGTCTCTGCGCCTATTATCGACGGTTCGTTAAAAATTTTTCACGAATTGCTGAACCACTGACACGGCTGACAAAAAAGCAAATGCCTTTCGTATGGCTTGCCGAACAAGAGGATGCCTTCAATGAACTACGAAAGTGCCTTCAAAGCCATCCTGTTCTGGCGCATTTTGACGAGGAAGCGGAAACCGATATCCACACGGATGCAAGCAATTTAGGTCTTGGGGCCGTGCTCATCCAATGGCAAAACAAGAACGAGTCATTGCGTATGCCAGTCGCACTCTTTCGAAAGCTGAGGTGAACTACTCAGCGACCGAGAAAGAATGCCTAGCCGTGGTATGGTCTATCAGCAAGTTTCGACCATATTTATATGGTAGGCCTTTTCGAGTTATAGGTGACCATCATTCGCTATGCTGGCTGGCTAATCTCAAGGACCCATGTGGACGGCTTGCTCAATGGAGCTTGCGATTACAGGAGTATGATATCACGCTTGTGTACAAGTCAGGTCGCAAGCACAGTGATGCGGACTGCTTGTCACGTGCTCCGATTCAACCTGCTGCTTCTGCTTCCACCGAGGATGGTGAAGATTTTATTTTCTTGGGAGCTGTGACACCATCAGAGATGGCACATCAGCAGCGATCCGACCCTGAGATACTCCTCTTGATCAAGTACCTACAAGGACAGTCTGTCGATGTTCCACAACCTTTTGTCCGCGCCTTGTCAGCGTTTGTCCTACGAAACAACATCCTGTATAAAAGGAACTTTGACAACAATACAGCGACATTCCTGCTTGTCGTCCCTTCACCTCTGCGACCAGAGATTTTGGAGGCTTGCCACGACGATCCATCAGCTGGACACTTAGGAGTAAGCAGAACCTTAGCACGCATCCGCACTAAATACTACTGGCCGAAGTTGCTTAGCTCTGTACGACACTATGTCAGAACCTGCCGGGACTGCCAAAGACGTAAAACGCCACCGCTAAAACCAGCAGGTCTCCTTCAACCGATAGAACCACCAGACAAGTGGGAATGACAAGTGGGAATGAGCCCCATTCACACAAGTGGGAATGGACTTACTGGGCCCATTTCCTACGTCATCATCGGGAAAACGGTGGATAATAGTTGCGACCGACTATTTAACCAGATATGCCGAGACAGCGACTCTAGTTAAAGGATCAGCCGTTGAAGTAGCCGAATTCTTCGTCTCCAACATAGTACTGCGGCACGGAGCTCCAAAAGCGTTGATCACGGACCGAGGGACTGCATTTACGGCCGACCTGATGAAATGTATCATGAAATTGACGCACACCAGTCATAGAAAAACCACCAGCCTACGTTAGCTTATTATTACATCGTGTCATGACGTCAGGTTACAGTATGAATAGAAAGTAGGTGTAAAAGTATGCTGCAATTAATGCTTCAGGGCACACTCACACTTACCAGTACATTTCCTATGCTCTCGGAGGCTTGGCCTCTCACTTGACAAAAAATAATAAGTGGAAAATTCCCTTCAGGGTGCTTTCAGTGACAGTGCATTTTCCAAATCACACGTTCTTCATTAACAGTGTGTAATCTGACAAATAACAATGAGGTTTCACAACTGCACAGTACCTTTTGAAAAAGATTTTGCGGTGTTGGGGTACCTTCACTGGAATAACGAGCGAAAAAGGAGGAGCAGTACTGTGTGTACTACTTATTTATTAACTTGTCAGAGTCTAATGCACCATCTCTTAAAGAATTGGTGAACTTTTTACTTCAGATATGAATCTTTTAGTTTCAAATCACAACTAATGTAAGGTGGTAAAAGGTTTCGAACTGCAAAGGTTTAAAAGGACAAAGCAGAAAAAAACAAAGCAGTCCTGTCATAATATCACAGGGATGAACTGCGATCAAGAAGATATGAATTTATGTTGTATACTTGTAAATCAACAGAATATCATTTGTGCATCACGCATTTCTTGACTTTACACAACTGTGACTTTTGTACATGCCATGTGTTAATTAGTGTAAAGATGGAAGCTAAATAAGGCAAGATCTATTCTGTTTAACTGCTTGCCTTTGCTGGCTTGTGCTACTGTATTCATGGTTGATTAAAAAGCTAGGGAAAGTATAGGGGGTGTATTGAGTATAGGCAATTGCTGTCATGGCTACTTGCAGTGCTGACTGACACTCCCCCATTTGAAATGCACACATGTACGCCATAAAGTGAACTGCAGGATGACCACCACGGCACAGCTTCAAACACGTTATTCGTGTCCAAATTGCAAATTTGATCCATTCCAGTGAAAAGTTGCCTCGTAATCCACTTTATTTTTTCCCTTTTACGTTACACTGACCACTAATAAACTCCTCTATGTTTTTCTTGACTAGTCTGCTAGTTGTCATTAATATCCAAAGAAAGAAAAATGTGCACTTGCAATTCCCCTTCTTTTGTTCATAATGAATCATCGCAAGCTAACCTGTCACTAGTGCTTCTGTGACTGTGCCAAGGCAATAGTAGTCAATGTTTGTGTTATGTCAGTTTGCTGATAAAACTAAATAAATTAACGTTTCAAAAATAAAACTTACGTTTTCGACGCCTGGCACTTATATATGAAAATTCCACTTGCAGGACTTGCTTCAAACCTTTCCTTCTGGCCACCATTGTACCATTAAGAATGAGGCTCAGCATTCTCTCAAAAGCTTCGTCGGTGGCTTTTAGCCCGTCTTTTTTGACCAAAAGGTTGAAGTCATGAAAAAACTTAAAAATAGACAAACAAATTCATGAGCACAAAGAACAGAAGAACTTACTTTCTAAGAACCATATAAATACAAGGAAAACTTAATAGAGAAAATGGCAGATGTTAACTATGAATCCTGCTGGAATGGAAAAATTATCAGAAAATTCAGAAGGCGAACAAACGTATGGCCTAAAGGGTGAACTTTACTAGTTTTCGAAGCTGAAAGCATCATAACGAAATCAAGCGTATACAGTTCTTTGAACACTTCTATCATTTAAAAAAAAAGACCTGACACTTTTTTTCAAATCATCTTTTGACTGCCTCAAGCCAACCCTTTGCTTTGTCTATATTTGCTGTGCACATTGAATTTATGCCCAAGCAAAGAAAACTGGAAATGAATGACAGATCACAGCAATAAGGTCCAGACCCATCAAGGGATATGACAATAATGAGCTACTGTTCAATCCAGTGTGATGCTATCACTACAAGTGATGTTGTATTTGAACAGTCATGTAATAAACACTGTTTCATTATCGCTAGCAAATACTTCATCAGCAGTTACACACTTTGTGATGATGCTGATTGCATTCAGCCATGGTAAGACCTGCAGAACCTGAATTCATGTGAGCAATTAAAGTGAATAACGGTATTTACCATGTTGATTCGAAGTCCACAAATCTCCCTTTCGTAAAAGGCAAGCATAAACTGTAAAAAGCAGTCATGCTGTGCACTATAAACAATAGCGCACGGCAGTACTTGAATGCTCCGAGTACCACTCACCAGCCCTTCACCAGTCATAGGCCATTTTAGAAGTCAGTGGCATAAGCCAACATAAGGCATGTGCGAAAAACTGCACCAACAAGTGTGCACACTAGGCTATCAGAAGCCAGATGAGTAACAGAAAATGTGACTAAGAACATAGCAAGACTGGAGAACTGCAAGCCGGGCCAGTTGGTGACAGTACATGAGCATATTTTGACACAGCGCACGACTACACGAACACAACAGAAGGGGGGACAAACTGCAGCACTGTGGTTTGTCCCCCTTCTTGTGTGTGGTGGCTGATGCTATAAATGACTTACCCATTCGATCTCAAGCAAGTAAGGGTATTTTCAAGCGCATCAACTGCCTTCATTTGGCACAAGCTTTTCATTCTTTGTAGGTGCGTAACGCCCAGACGGCAGCGTACTTGCTCAGCATTTTCTGGCTTTGTCCATTCTAATGTAAGCCATGCTTCATGCTGCGCAAGGCTTGTCTCATCTTCACCTGTGGTTTTCAGGCTTTGCATCTGCATTTTCAATTGAAATGGTAAATACTATAAATAGGCAAACATGAAGTTAAGAAGTACTGACCAAAATGCCATTCACTTTGTTTTCTGCCGGCACAATGCCCTCCACAGCTCTTCTTTTGGACCCTGCTCCATACTTTTCTCTGGCATTCATGACTCGATCCACTTGCAGCTTGCGCCGCTCGTTTTTAAATTTATTTCTTAGATGCAAGACCCAGGAATCCTGTGCATAAAATTTTCACAATAAGAAATTCATCTATTTCTCGCTGTAGCTTCTCGTTTTTTTCATTTTTTTTTTAAATTCTGGATTGACTTTACTGAACCTTGTTAAGTCTATGTACATTCATGCACTGCTTTCAAATGCGCAGGCAATTTTATGGGAAAATATGTTTTTATAATACAGAGAATTTCGTGCTTCCCTTCTGCGAAGAGAGGAAGCAAAACAACTTCAATCGATACTGCAGAGTAAATGAAGCTCTTAAACAGCGACTAGGAGTCCTTCGGCACTAGTGGCATCTTCAGTTTTTCTGATCGCTTGTAGCTGGTCCTGAATTTTTTCTAAGTCTAAGAGACTTTCAATGTAACTCAGCAAATCTCAATCTGAAATTGAACTTGAATGTGCTAAAATAAGAATGGATGTTTAAACATGACTAAACTAAAGTTATTGAATGTTGCACATTCGTGAGTGAACTTCCCGCATAAAATTGAAATATTCATGGATGTTTATCACAACTTTACTTCAAGGGAATGTGATAACATCGGTGTTTAGTTGACTTTATAGTTATTAGTCCAGTTTATTGTAATAGGCTTATTTACTTTGTAACTTTCCAAGTTTAGAAAAAACTTCTTGCTCCCAAAAAGCACATCAAATGTTTGATATTGCAACATGGAATCAATAAGGATCCTGCAATTGAAAGCTCGGCAGGCTACCACGTATTAATAACTCTATTATTATCGCAGCAATTCCAAGCTCCAGTCTATCTTATTTAGCCCAAGTCCACACTTTGTACGAGGATGACTGCAATGCAGGTGACAAGGCATGACTGAATAGGTGTGCCTAGCAGACAAAATGTTTGCAAAGCAACTGAGCCTGACATCAATCTATGATGTGGAGAAGTGGTCAGCTGTAACACAATCTGGAGGTGACCGCAGGTAGCGCTCCCATCACTGAAAATGGCGGGATTGCACTGTTTTAATTTGAAATCGTACTAGATACCAGTGATATAAACCAATAAAAACGATAGTTATTCGTCCCTCAGTTGTGCTTTAGGTCGCAAATCACTACTAGGGGGTCAATAGCTACTCGTTGACGCAAAAAACTTGAAATGAGTTGATTTGATGTCAGTCCTCCTGTAAATGTGAATGCTTTACACAAGTACTACTTATTTACCATGTGAACTGGTGCCAATAGTTGCTGAGGTATTATTACAACCTTATTGGCTTTAAGGCTACGTGCATCTTAGGAGCTTGCAGCGATTATTGTGCAAATGCAGGTTTCTAGGTAAAGGATGTGCTGTAGCACATGACAAGATAAGAAAAACAATGGTGCAACTATACTTACATGGCCACTGCCGCATGTGTCTTCCAGTTGAAGGTAGAGTCCGACTAGTTTAAGCCCAACATCGTGATAGAAGCGCCGCGATGGGTAGCTGAAAAATGTTTTCAGGTTTGAAAAAAAAAAAACAGATGTGGGCGATGACTAACTCAAGCTCATAGGCAGTCTCAATGTTGTCTTACATTGTGTGCTTTATCATTTCTTGAAACAAGGAGTCAACAATCCTCGCTGTGGCAAAGGAACTGATGCTGCTGCTGAGGTTCAAACTAGCATTTAAAAAACTCAAGTCTGGTAGTGTAAACTTGCTCCCGCTGTCGTCATCATCACAGCTGAAACGATCATGATATAGTCTTTTAGCAAGTGAGAAATCATGTAATACTACAGGCAATAGTGGTGAAAAGATCACATTTTACTGGCAAGACAATGGTCATTTTCGTTTTTTAATGAGTTCAATACATGCAAATGGTCTGCATATTTCTTCCCAAAACATTTCTTGTGCTCTTAATATTAAAAATATGGCTTTTATTATAATCATAGCTACCTTTGCCTGCTTTGTATTTATGCGGATGCACTCACAAACTATGCACTTGTGATGACAGTGTGATTTGGTTCACATAATCAGAGTGCTCCTGAGAAAATGCTGCTATTAATCTGCTCAAGTTTCCACTGCAGAGAAATGAGTCGGAAAGCTCGGCCTCTGCTTGCAAGCACTAAAATGACATTTATGCTACATGACAATGCTACGCCTCTTCAGTATCTCTGGGCTCTGGCCTTGTGGTCAGACACATCTCTGGACCACTGGCAACAATGCTTTCTCACTACCACTGATGCAACCATGTCCTGATGATTGTCAGGTGGGAAGACAAACCAATCAATTGAGTGTCAGGAAAAAAAGAGGGAAGTTTTCAAGGGCCTCCTGAATAAAAAAATGAATGTAACCCCACTATTATGGCACCATTTTTAAAAGTGCTCATGGCTTCGTGTTAAATGCAGATTCATGCACAGCTATAAGACCTCCACTAAATCATGCTCTCTTAGACTCTGAAAGGATCCTAACAATCAAGCTTGTGCTGTATTCATGCTAAACCAGTGTCATGCTGTGCTGTACAGAAAAATACAATGATGAATGCTTGATGCTGCAACACTTTTACAAACATTGTCTTCTTTAGTAAGATTCTTTACCTAGCTATAATGCTGAAACTTTGCTCAGCAGCTTCTTTGGAATTGCTGTGGCCATTGCCTGGGACAGTACGCTGCAAAATAAGGAAGAAGTTTGCCAAGTAATACATATAACAGAAACTTAGTCTGTGATTGTAGCTATTTATAATTGCTGTGTTAAGTGCACAGCTTACATTTTCACTTTTCTACAACCAGCTGCAGCAATTAACAAGAAAGTTGCGTCCCTTCATGTAGGTACTGTACTGTATTTATAACAGTATGTCAAAATTCTTGGCACAGAACAAGCAATTACCTTATTATGCAAACTGTGACTACCTGACTGATCAGTGAGTTTTATTGCAGAGGTACCAGACATTGCCAAAGCATGCCATGACTGTCCCTTGTGCATAGTACACAATCTAAACATGACAAATAAAATGCAATGTCACGTGTCTGTAGAAACGCATTAAATCAGTTGCAGAACGAGTGCATTTTGTAGTGTTGCAATTACAATTTGCCGTTCCCCCAGTGGAGAAGGGGAACTTGAGTAGGCGAGTACGAGCCCTCCACTCCACTTGCTTCCCACACATTTGTGAAGTTTACACTACATGTGAACGTGTCATTTTGTAACGTCACCCTGATGGGAGACAGATAACAATTGCCAATTTTTTAGTTTCCGTAACAGCCGTGTAAACATGAAGGGGTTTATTCCCCCTATGAGATTCTACTGATGCCAATATAGATGGTACAAAAAAAGCAGAGAACAGGCAAGGCTTACTGAAGTGCTCTGAACAATGTAAACAAATACTGTTGCCTGTGCTAGCCATGTGTGGTTCGAGCTCACGCGTGCGAAGAAAATGAGTATCTGCACAAAGCATTGAATATAACTAGAGCTCATTTTCGCTTCACAATAGCAGGGATCAATTGAGTAGCTGGACGATACACGTTCACGTCATGGCTGAGCCGGCACTGAAGCAGATGTAACTGTACAGTGGGTTCAGATTTAATCTTTTCACCAACAATACGAATTTATGAAGCTTTATACAGTGCAGTGCCGACTTAAACATTTCAAATTGCTAGTGAAGCGGCTAGTAACAGTGGCAAGCCAATGTCCCGAAGTTGCAGCTATTTACGAGGGCTACGGAGGCGAGTGCTTCGAGAAGCATTCGCAACAAAGCATTATTGTAAATAGAACACACCTACCAGATGTAGTTTTCAAAATTTAGCCTTGTAAATGGTGATAAATGAATGACATCCTTGGTCCTATAAATGGACATCAATTTTTTTCTGTGTCCGTACATATGTGACTACTTCAAATATAATGTAACTCAAATACAACAGATCATAACACTAGACAAAAAAGTCTGGACCCTGAGAGTTTTGTTTTAGCTGTATAGTGACAATTTTGATGTAAATGTGAAAACGATAAGGTGAACAAATGATTCACTAAATGCACTTTATTTCTAAACGGTTTAGTAGTTTTTTATGAAAAGACGATTTTTTATCTTCATTTCATCCACTTCACTATTTTTCAAAATTTCTGTCTGTTTTTTTTATTAATTTATTAAGAACAAGTATAGAATTGCCAAAGGAGACATGGCCAAAGGTAAACATTGCCTGACTGGGTTGTACCACCCATACAGCAGCAGCAGAAAAAGACATTTACAAATATAAAAGGGTACATAAAAATCAAACACGAAAACTCCGATCAATAATACACAGTCATATACCACTGAAAAAGAAAAGAAAACATAGGTACAATTTTAACAAAAAATATGCACGCACAACTTTCGAGCAGAAAAAAAATTGCATTATACTAATAAAAAAAACTAGGAACAATTTCTAGGGCTCACAATCCACACGTGGGAAGAAAAAATAAAAAAATAAAAACAATACATAACAGTGATAGAGAACCAAGTTATTCTTTTATTTGCTTTAGTCCTTTGAAAATAATTATTATCTTATTCTTTTTTGATAGGCTTGCTTCCTAATCCCAGATCTGAGGAGACCTATGGTAAAGGTATAGCCATTGAGGAGATTTATGTCTTAATTAGCAGAATACAGTTATACAATTAATGTCCCCTGCGTCAGATATAGCTTCATCATCTGTTTGTTCTATTCAAGGTTGTATCAAACAAAGAAACACGTAGCACTTGTCTTGCAGAAATGTAGTTGACCACATGTGTCAAACAAGCATGCATAGATGTTCAGGTAAGATAGAGGAAAGGGTGGGCTAACTACAGAAGAGAGGGTTAATATGAGAAGACTATCACTGAAGCAGAATAAAGTAAAAGCTAACCAATTTCTATTGCAAAATGAAGCTCAAAGGTTTTGAGCATGATACAAGGTGCATTGACACATGTCCTTGGCTTCTTCCAGAATTGTCAACGTCTGCAACATTAATTTTTTTCTAAAGTGGACAGGAACAGTTCTCTTTAAAAAAATGGTTTGCACGAACATTTTTTTAGAAGTCTATCTTAAATGTTGCAGTTCCTGCAGCTAAATCTGCATGGGTGTGGGCCGCTTATGTGCACACGTATTGGCAGAGGATCAGAAAAATTGTAGCTAGCTAGACAACGTTAAGGTGGTGCTCTCGGCCTCTCCAAGGCTGACAGGCTTGTGCAAAAAAAAAAAAGTCAGGCCTGCACACAACATGCGCCGCAATAAGCGAAAGGTGGAATAGCAGTCTTTATAGACCATTTTTTAAACATTATTAGGATAACTACTGCAAGTAGACTTGGCAACCACTACATTATAATCTTCATCTTTATTAGGTATGAAAACACCCGCTACACCATTATTCGTTCTTCTGCCAAGAAGTGACCTACCCACTACATTACAAAATTCACATTGTGCAATGCCTAGTTCTTATTTTCCCCTTATGAAACACTATTATGCGTGTTAACATGATTCTTTCTGCGAAATGAAGCTTGCCTATGTTCTGTTTCCAAAGGAATTTCAAGCAGTGACGTGGCTCAGTAGTATAATACTGGGCTGCAACACAGAGTACCATGGTTTGAATCCTAATATAACCAAAATATTGTTGATTTACAGTCTTCTAATTTCAAATGATAGCTGTTACAGACACTAGTGGCGGCAGACAACTACGGTGCCAAGAACGGCTTTTGTTGTGATCTCATAAAGTTGTAAAATATCGACAGAATATAACTGACCCAAAAGAACATTTTGGAAATCAAGCACAGGTGCCAATTTTTTTTAATGCACAAGAGGTGTAGTGCATTCAAGGTCCACTTATCCTGTGTCAATTTATACTTGCAGGGTTTATGTGGGTCCTTGAAATCGATGAAAAACCTTGATTTGGAAATTTTGTTTTCCAGGCCTTACATGTATTGGAATTTTTTCAAATCCTTTTTTTTATTTCTACTGAGCATTGTCGCATATTTCATAGCATATTATTTGTGATGCCATGAATGTAGTAGGTGGCATATGCAATGTGCCCATCACAAAAGAAACCAACACTATGCATTTTCGGGAACTCTGAGAAGGCAGGAGCAGGAGGATAATAAACAGAAAAAAGATATGTTGCATTGAGGGGGAGTTCGAAACAGCAGCAAAAAAGAAAAAGAAACTAGGCGCCACTCAGAGGGAATGAACAGCTATAGACTTGCATGCAGAAAAGGCAGTGACAGCTAGCGACTTGTCATGCACCAAGTCAAACACCATTCGGAAGACTGCCGAGATCAAGCAGCAGGAAACAATGGACATTCGTATGAAAATTCAGGAAAAGTGATTACTGCAATACTGAAAATGATTATTCATGCAAGGAAATATGATCGAACTTAATAAACAATTATTTCGGGCCAGTTGGTATGAATCCGTCTTTGTAGGAAGCGCACGACTTTTAAACTTCTGTCCAGTGTTCCTGTGTATAAGTTGAGGGTTTCCCACTAAGAAATGATCGAACGTTCTCCAGGAAGAAAATGTTATTGCAGCCACACTTCCAATGTTTGCTCGAGCGACCATTCCCTTTTTCAATAAATTCCAGTTACTTGAAGCCTCTATCCTACCGTGAAACATTATTACATTTCTGACCGACGTTGTGGTCCTTGAAAATTCACAATCATTTTCTTGAAAACCCTTCAATATTTGTTATGTTAATGAGTATGAACCCTGTACTTGGGTTTGGATGGACCACACGACTAATAGAGCAGCATTACACCTGTTAGCAGCTGGTAAAGGCTAGTCATTTGGCCACACATTGCAAAAAATGTTCCTAAAGCTAATTTTTGAAAACGTGTGTGTTGTTGGCAGCTCCAAATATTAAAAAAAACACTGTTGGGAAATATTAGAACAAAAATTGTGTAATGTCTTATGCATCTAATCACATCTTCTCTCATGCGAATGAGCCCTGAGTGAAGCATTTGCTAACATTTACCTCATCCTGCTTCAACGATGATGTCCTCCTTTCATGTTGACCCTGAAAGCCCTTCTCTAGATCCTTTATCTGAGCATCTATGCATGCTTGTTTGCATGTAGTTGGTAGTTTGCACTCAGTGTCCTTTCTTCTCTTTCGTAATTTTTGCAGTTTATATATAGTGCTGATTTAACTATGAAGTAATAGAGGCACGCTACAGGCAAATTTTTCATTAAAGTATTTCAGAATGACAATATGCGACACTTTACCTCGCGTGTTGTAAACAGTTGGCCTGCTTTTAAAGTCCGTATGATGGCCAAATCAGGAATGGTGTCCTCATTCAGCAGGTCAACATATTCATTGAACTCCTTGTTGAGAACCTGTGCAAAGCATAAGACGTCTGCTGAAAGAATGTCAGAGTCATCTTTTCACACAGCTGAGTGCAGAAAGAGAGCAAGCACGGGCACTATGCATCATTTTGCTTCTTATTGGTCATTGCTACACGGCCCAACTGATCCGGATAAAGTTTAGCGCAAGTGTCAGCCAAATCGTGTACTGAAAGCCTGATTTCTATCGGGTCTGATCACAATTATTACCGGTATCACACAGGGGTCGTTGATCGCGATCAATCCCAACCGAAGATCAAATTTATCAGTAGTGATTGTCTCCCTTCTGCAGCTTGCATAGAGGAACCAATCGCGATCGTCACGATCCAGACTAAGCCTTATCGCAATCAAGTGAGCGTGTAGCAGCAACTCATTCAACTGAACCAGTATCGCTTATCGCTCCAGATTGTGATGAATGAAAAGTGCCCATGTGACATCAGTGGCAGCCGCCACCACGTTTCGGGGCAAATGATCGTTAGATCGCAAGTGTGCGGTATTGCGTAAGATGCCCACCAAGACATGATCGCGTGAACTCGCATGCGTCAATTGAGTATCAGAATCATGCTGCGTGTACTCATGTTGCATTGAACTCAACGTGCATTAATGAAAAAAACAGCAACAGAGGGAGGGGGGATGATACGATATCTTACCTGAAATCTGTCATTGTCGCAGTCTATCTCAACGGACAACAGTTGGCACTTGCTCACGGCGTCTTTTAGGCCACGCAGATTCGCTGGTTCGAGTCTGAGCTTTCTTCGGGGGCCGCCGTTGCTTACCGTCAGTAGACATGTCACTGTTGTGCCCGCAGATTCATGTAATGTTGCCATAGAGCTCCTCAAAACAACGCGCAAGAGTTGTTTTGAGGAGCTCCACCAACTCGTATTGCACCCACCATAGCCTCCTATATGCACCCACCAACGATCCGGCGCCGCAATGAACGCGCTTCCCGCCAATTTGATCATTCGTGTTTCCGGCTCCGGTTGTTTTGTAGCCTTCGAAATAACAAACGTTGGCATTTTGGAATGACAAACGCGTCAATGTTGAAAAATAAGCTAGAAAATTGCACAAAAGTTTTGTGTACAATTGTATTTCTGGCTCAAGATTGTTTTTATGTTGCCAGCACCTAAACGCTTAGCCTTCGAGATTAAAGTTATTGTAGCTCAGAAGAACGTAAACAGAAAAGATCAAAGTCCTCCAGCGTTAATTCAATGGTTTTACAAGGTAGCGTCAGACAAGCGGGATAAATATAAATACATTGAAGCGCACGCGTATAAGTCGTTCGTGGCAAAGCAGCGGTGTGTGTTTAATTGTTGCGGCTGATGGGTATTGAAGCAGCACTGATTGATTGATATGTGGGGTTTAACGTCCCAAAACCACCATATGATTATGAGAGATGCCGTAGTGGAGTGCTCCGGAAATTTCGAACACCTTTTCGCCTCTATTGAAAATAGAGGCGAAAATGCCGCAGTTGGCATTTGATACCGCGACCTGCGGGTCAGCAGCCGGGTGCTTTAGCCAGTAGACCACTGCGCGGGGGGAGGGGGGGTATTGAATCAGAATAAAACAGCGCTTCATACACAGGATGAAGTCAGAGCTACAGGCTCCGTGTTGAACATAGTCATCCAACGCCGTGCCTGCAGAGGGGGGTGGGGGTCACGCAGCGTCCCGCCTAAATAAGTCAATGTATACGGAGTAGACCTGGACCTCCCTTCACCTCCTCACCTTTTATACGGCTTGGGAGCCCCCTCCCCTTTTCCTGCGGCTGTGCCCGCAACTACGGCGCAGAATATCAACAAAAGTTTAGTTTATTGCAAATCAAAAGCAACGTGTAAGCAGTGGAAATATGCACAGATAACAAGACAAATGTCAGCATACATTTCAAGCAAGTCGCGATAAACAACAAGCAACTGCGATAAATATACCTCGTGCACCTTCTCAGCGAGCTGTCTCCGAAGGCACGCCGCCTCAAGAACACCGTGTTGTTGAATATGGAAAGTTTCGCTATTCTCATGTGCCTGCTGCTGAGTAACTAAACGCTTTTCAATAATTAGATGGAACCTGTATTATTCCCCATTGTCAGCCAAGTTATCTGGCACGGATTCACTGAGCTAGCGAGCCAGTTCCCTCGGCCGATTATTTATACATCCTCATGTATGGTCAATGTAGCAACGCAGGGTGGTAAATGGCATCTTCTATGCTGCAGTTTATTTGCGATAAAAGTTTAGCAAGGGCTGCATCTGTCATCTTCACCTTGTTCTGTCTCAACTTTTGGTCACTACCGGGAATCATTTTGAGACAATTTTCCATGAATTTTTGCTGTGGGGACAAGTTGTATTCGAGAAAACACGTTATAATGTGACAGGAATGTAAATGCAGTATCTTAGCTTTGCCACAGCTAGCGTGCCTGAATTCTCGTTTGTTTAGGCTGCAAGCTAACCATACAAATGAAACTAGTTTTGGTTTCAAATGTAGGTCAAGTTCAACTTGATATTTCAAAATTACCTAAAATATGTCTACCTAGAACCAGTATAATACCATTACCTTTGGCCAGATTTTCAGGTGATAAAAGCATGGTTCGTCCTTGCAGGCCAGGCAATAAATGCATGCAGATGTACATTGCCTCGGTTCAAACTCCTGCGATGAGTGTTGATGTAGCAGTAATGCCAATCGTAGAGATTTATACCTAAATCTAGGGATTTGGAATTTCTTCTAAGAATTTGGCATCTTTTTTTTTTAGATCTAGAGATTCTTGTAATGCTCTGTAAATGTCATATTAGCAGCCTCACGAAGGCAATACTTTGTAACCACGCTCTTTAAACTAAAAAGACTGTAAAAATGATAATTTGGGCTATTTCATGTTCTTTCTACTCAAGAAAGTCTTGCTGTTCTGCTGGCCCAAGTGAAGGGGCAGCAGTTCTGTGATGGCATATCATATGCTCAATACTGGAGAAATTAAAGTCAGTTTCATAGAAGTTAAGCATGCACCTTCATGACATGGGTGCCTTGAGTGACTGGTGTGCTGTGAAACAAAGATAAATTTACTCAATACATGCCTTCACTGAGCAATGTCTCCATGGAAAATAACCAGGAGGCTTAGAGAGGACTAGAGCAAAAGTAGTATTGAAAATTGGGTAAGGTGGGTCTCTCTCTCAGCCCCTTATCACATAAAGTGGCATATTAATATTGCGAAATGGTGTGAACAGAGGCAAGAGTGTTTTGGGTGTTTTCAGTCTTTATATCGTTTACATGACAGTGCAAAAGTGACTAAAATATTTGGCCAAACGAGAAGCTGATTGAAAATATAGAGGAAAGGCATAGTTATCATCCTGTAAAAGAGGGCCCTCATACATGTAGCGGAAATAATGCAGCAGTAATTACAAACTTGGAAAAATAAGTTTGCAATGCCACCGTAGCAGTTGCAGGTGCATGAAAGGTGCTACAAACTTGCAGTTGACCTGAATGAACACACGGAAGGATTGCAACCTTTCTCCTATTTTCACTTCCTCACAAAATCTTTTCCTGCTAAGTCACTAAGAATGCTGATAATATGTTGAATTCATCAGACCTGCCTTAAGGAATATACCTGCCATACAAAATAAGTGAAGTTAGCATAACATTTGAGGTTGGCTTTCACCACTAGGGCAGTGAGGGCAGAACAGCTATTCGCTTGATGACATTCATTGCCAGCCAGTCACTTTGTAGGGAGTATGAGACATTAACAGCTTGTAAAACTGTTCTTTTGGTGTTGCAGCTTACTATTTTAGAGCAGGGGCAAGAGGCAAACAGCCCTATAAGAGCTGTTTATTTGTTTATTTATTTCAAGTCTGACTCACTTGGAATAGATCAATCAATCTATGTATTTTCTTTTGATAAGAGGAGTACAGGGCTAAAAGCTTGAGAGCTTGACGAGCTCACAAACTATCAAATCACCTATTCTCTAGCCTTCAGTCTCTATTGTCTTTGTGCACATTTCTAGAACCTCTGCAAGCTCCTTTTATTCTCACAACTGCTACTTTGCATAGCTCTCTTATGGTGCCTTATAATGTAATAATAAAAAAAATTACAGCCCTGGAATATGCATGCTTTATATAAGTAATACTGAACTTTTCTTTACAATATTTTCAGATGCCAGGAATACGATGCTTCCAGTGCCACAAGTGCAACAAGAAAGAAGTAACACTCAGATCACTATTCAGGCATTTTCATGCGCACCATGGGCATGAATGCAACTGGTTGTGCAGTATCCAAGGATGCATGAGGACTTGTATTACATATGGAGCTTATAGAAAGCATGCTTCGAGGCAACACGCTGAGGTTTTTGAAAATGCCAACTTTCTGAAGACAGTGCATATAATGTATTTAATCATGATGTGACATTTATTACAACTGAGGTGGGCGCTGAGGCTTTGTTAGATGACCCTGATGTGCCAGGAACATCTCGTGCTTCTGACACAGAGCATCGGCAGACAAGTTTGGCCAGCTCATCTTGTCATCAGCGAGACTTTTTCAATCAATTTGCAATAATGCAACTGAAGTGGAAAGAAGGAAGAAGGCTACCAGATTCAACTTTGCAAGACATATCTACAGATGTTGTCTTGTACATGCAGGTTTTTTTTTTTTTTTGAACACCTTTTATTAGAATCTTCCGAAGCAAAAAAAAGCAGCATCATTTCTAAACCATCAACTTGAACAGCTTCTCAACAAAAAGCAACGAGAAAACTATTGGAAGTTGTGCCTCCCTTTTGTAAAACCAGAGGAAATTTTCATTGGAAGAGATTCCCGAGGGAAGAAGGCGACATACATCTATATCCCTATTTTAAAGGCACTTGAAGCAATAATAACAAAGCATTCTATTGATTGGCACCAGTCGGAAGCAGCGACCTCAAGACAATATCTTAAGAATGATTTTGATGGGAGTGCATTTAAAAATTATGCATACTTTCAAGGTGACACTAAAAAGATCTGCATCCAGTTGTATACCGATGAGTTTGAAGTATGTGATCCACTTGGCAGCAGACGAGGTAAACAAAAGATTGTGGCTGTTTACTATACTGTTTTGAACATGGCAGCTGAAAAAAGTCAAAGCTTTCATCCATACACCTTGCGATTCTCGTCAAGGAAAAGCTTGCAATAAAGCATGGCTTTAAAAAAATATTTGAACCGCTTGTGAATGACATAGCAAAGTTGGAAACAGTGGGTATTACTGTTAATGAAGAGGTTCATAAAGGAAGTGTGTTTTGTGTAACAGGGGACAACCTTTCACAACATAGGCTTGGTGGCTTTAAGTGTAGTTTCAGTCATGGCAGGATTTGTCGACACTGCATGGTACTACGCCATGAAATATCTGGCAAGCATAGACCATCTGATTTTGTAGAGAGATCCCCCGCTGTGCATAACCACCACCTATCACTAGTTGCACAGGGTCTTAGCTGCCTGCCACTGTATGGAGTGCGTGGTGAATCTGCGGTTTCATTTTTTGGCTTTGAGCCCACCCAGCACCTTCCACCTGATTTAATGCATGATTTGCATGAAGGCGTTATTCCATTTTTGTTAAAACATGTTATTTCTTTTTTTCTGAAACATGAAATCATTAAATTAGAATTGCTGAACACTGCAATCATGACTTATCCCTATGGCCAAAATGACAAGAGAAATAAACCTGAAACATTGTCTGCAAGCATGTTCCAAAAGAAGGGCACACTCAAAGGAAATGCTTCACAAACATACTGCTTGTTTCGCTATCTACCTTTTTATGTAGGTAAACATGTACCAACGGGTCACAATGTTTGGGCATTGTACCTTTTGTTCAGAAAAATTGTTGACTTAATCATGAGCAAGCAAGTGACAATAGAACAAATTGCTTATCTTGAACGACTCATCTCATGCTTTTGTGTTGACTTCAGAATTCTGTTTCCAAACACTCCAGCTCCATGCAAACTGCATTACATCATACATTATCCAAAGTACATGGTGATGTATGGATCACTTGTTCATCTTTGGTCAATGGGATATGAGGCCAAACATCAATACTTTAAAGACTTGGCAGTAAAATTAGGAAATTTTAAAAATATTACGTTAACTCTGTCAAACCGCCATCAAACATCTGAGATGTATCTTCACTCTTTTGAAGATAGTAGTGTGAAAATGGTCACTACAGGGTGCAAGCCAGTGTCGCTGGAGCGGTTGCCTACTGAAGTGCAGAATTACATCACTGCGAATGCTATGGACACTAGCAATGTGTTCTCTCTGGTATCAGCTAAGATTCAGGGAACTCAGTATGCTGTTGATAGCGTTCAAGTCATGAGCATGTCTGATGATGGGCCATGTTTTGCCACAGTAAGAGATATCTTTTCTGTTAGACGGCAGATCATTATGTATGCACAAAAACTTCAGACCATCAAGTTTGATGAGCACTACCATGCCTATGTTGTCAGACGGTGTCCTGAAGTCATTGTGATAACAGATATTTCAGGTCTTCATTCTAATGAACTGAGTATTCATACATTAGGAAACAAAACTTTTATTTCAGCTCGGCATACATTTGCAGAAAATATTTGAACCCCTTGTGAATGACATGGCTAAGTTGAATACAGCAAATGTTACTGTAAATGGAGAGGTTCGTAATGGAAGCGTATTTTGTGGAACAGTAGACAAATTTTCAAAAAGTAGACTTGGTGACCTCACGTGCAGTTTTAGCAGTTCAATTTGTACTGGGCTTCAGAAATGTTTTGACTGGCTTCTTAGTAAGTCAGTACTCATGTTTTTTTTTTGTTTTTGGTACCATTCATATTGATAGGAACTTCCACATCCCTTCGAAATCTTTTTTAAGGGACACTAAAGAACAAAATGCTTTTTCGCGTACTAGTAAAGTATGATTTCACAGTCCCGAAAACACCACTTTTGGTAACGCGACATGACACGTGGTAAGCGAGAAAATGCGCGAAAAGAAACTGCGGGTGGAGACGCCACCTGGAGATTCCCGCACCAAACACTGTGATGTCGTCAATATTTGAAAGCATGTACTGTGTCCTGTGTAATTCCTAATCCATAAAGTTAGAGTACATTGTAATATGTGAATGCCTAAATATACAAAGTCTCAGAAAATTTCACCGCGCTAATGTCACAAAAATAGGAAAAATACATTGTGGAATTTCTTATGCAAAGGCTGGAGATTATGGTGCAAAATTTAAGAATCAAAACGCCAATCTTGATTTTCTCTACTAATAATGAACCTATGATGGTCAAACGTGCAGCATTGAAGTTCTCAGAGAGCAGTTTAGCAATCTAAGACAACTAGCGAGTGACTTGTTGGGTGAGTTGGTTCATTCTTAACGAGCTTATGGTGCAAAAAAACAAGAGAAAAACAAGGGCAAACTATCAAGTGAATTTATTCGTAAAAGCGCACACACATATATACAGGTATATATACATATATATACTCCCTGCAGTGTAACGAAAGATTTGAACAAGGTGTCCCCATAAAAGACGCCTTATGCTCTAACAATTCATTGTTTACACACCAGCCCGTCTGCTCGACATAGCATTTTTCACAAGATATATATAGTGGTGTATCATAAACTACTTTTTTGGCATACTCGACCAATTTATCACGTAGCTTAATGTCGCACCCGTGGACCCACTCGCTCTGTCTAGATAACTTCATACCCACAGCCGCACAAATTTGGCCAAGCTTGTCTGCTGCAGAAAAACCTAAAACCACGCTACATCCGAACCTGTCCCCTACTTTCTTCAGCTTATGGGAAACCCCGTGAACATGCGGAATGCTTACAAAAGGAGCCCCTTTCTTCCGTCTTACTCGGCTTATGCCAAGTGCTTCCAACTTCAACCTTTGCAGGACCCTTTCGCTTGTGTTTCTTTGCGCCATAGGCTCGTTAAAACAACTAGTTGTTTCTCTTTAGCGTTCATTTAATATACATTATTCAGTTTCAAGCAAACTATAATAAGTCAGTGGAGTAGCGTACACTTAATACTCCTTCAAAAGTTCTTTCAATAATGTTTAACCCATATGCCATATGTACAGCCATATGTGTTGCACAGCCAAACCTCTTCATTTGTGAGAAAGAAGTTGCCTGTTAATATGTCTGTGCTGAAAAGCTTGTCTCGGCCTTGGAAATTTTCAGTCAGATGTCTGTGGACTGTTGTTTGCTATATGCAGTTACTATGAAGAGTGATAAGAGGCACTCTTTTCTGTACTTATTTTTTTCAGTCTGACGTTCTGACTTGGTGTTGCTTGCTACACAATGATGCTATCGGCAGTGATAGGACTCAATTCTTTTCTTTTCAGTGCGATGTCACTTGGCTGTTGTTTGTTACATAAAATTTGTGCACAAAAGTTTCTGATACTTCTTACCGTACTTTCTATTAAAGCTTATGTCTTTTGACTGTCTCATTCTTTGCGGTGCCAGTGGCAAAACCTAGAAAATAAGGTCTGCCCCACCAGGTCAATTGTTTCGGTAATACACATTGCTCCTCGTGACACTTAGGAGAATGGCTGAAAAGATGCCTCCGAGTGAACAATATGCAATAATTCTCATACGTTTCCATTTTTGCATGATTAAATACGGAAGCTGCTCAAACAGATTTTTCAACGACAGCCTGAGTGCAGAACTTGAGAAATACTCAAATAAAATCCACCCGATTGAGCCTCAATTTTCATCATCGAATTTGATCAGATACAAACAGTTGTATGCTCTGTTCCTTTATTTTACTGACATTTCCAACAATGCACAACATGTATTCATACATCGCACGTTATTGACATTCTAGCTTTAACAGCTGAATTACCAGACATGCAAACTACACGCACTGAAAAATTTATTCCTGCCAAGTCTCCCGGATTTCGAACGTTTCTCCCGGTTGCATGGGTCATAAGAAAATCTTCCGGAAATCTAGTTTTGCCCCATGCGTCCAGTGCTTTGTCTGGCCACTTGAGCAAAGTTATCTGGCCACGTTGTAAGAAGGATTTTTTTTTACGATTATAGGCAGGTTTAACTCGGTTCAATGTACGTTTTCGAGATGCGAAAATAGCGCAAGAACATGCGGCCTGCCGAGTAGGAGCAGCGAAATCGCGCATGGCTGTGCAGCTTTTGAAGGTCACGCACATTGAAGGGCCACTCACCAGGCAGGCCACTTACTAAATTTTAGTTAGACCGTGGAAGTTATTGGGTGTCTGATGAGAAACATTTTGCCACAATAATTTTTTAATCGGTTCATTATGAGCCAAGAATTTTTTTTTTATTTTTGAGCGGCGCGAAACGAAGATGAGAGGAAGTGAGCTCAAAACCCTTGCCGCTTCTCCGCGTAGCATTCGCAAGCCAAATCTCTTCCCTACCCTCTCCTGCATCCGACCAAGAGGTCACGTGGGCATGACATTCCCAAACAAGCCCAACCCCCGTGCACGCGAGCGGCGTTTTTTTTTTTTTTTGTGTGTGTGTGTTGTTGACCAGCGTTCTTTTGAGGTCTACGGTCTGTTTCTGTGGGACGGCTGTCATCTGCTCGATGCACTGACCGCGGAACCGCGGGTACATGAATACATGCGAAATGCCATCACATTAGCCCCACCACTCGTTGCAATTCACGGGGATAAAAAAAAAACGCTCACTTTCCCTCATTACGTTTCATTATTTATGAGAGATTTAGTATCTACTTGGCTCGCGACTTCGACTTGACTTGAGCAAGTCGGCGCGAAGCAAGCAGCGGACTTCAAAACGCCCAAGTCAGCCTTCGCGTTTCATAGATGCTCAGGCTGTCTTGCTTGGTCAAGTCAAGAACGAGCTTCAAAGCAGAAACACGCTGCTCACCTGCTAACGAGGGTAATAATGAAGTTGTTCACGTAAGGCATGTATTACATAAAAAAACACCGTGCGTTTTAAAATAACTATAAAAACGAAGGGCCACAAGCATATTCCTGACATTTTACGGCTAACGAGCGGCACGTGGTGCCTGCCGTCACAGCGATGCGCAGTGTTGCTTTTGTGAAGCGTTCGTTACCCGCTGGTTTCAGTGGCCGCCCAAATGCGGCGCGTTTCTCCACGGTTGCTTGTTTGGAGGCGAAGCAAGCATCGCGTTGGGTTCTTTCGTCGTTTTTTTTTTTTTTCCAATCGAACGCCGCGGCATGTATTTGTGCTGACCTGGCTCACGAGGTGACGCGATTTTCACGGTATTGCCTGTAGTGGGCTAGGTCGCAGTAAATATATATATAATATATATATATATATATATATATAATATCTATATATATATATATATATTATATATAATATTAGATATATATATATAGCGGGGTCAGGACATTGCCCTCAGCAGAATTTTGTCTCGCGGGGTGCAGCAGTGTCTCGCTGCATGATGGTGAAGCGGATAAAAAAAAAAAAAAGCCGTGATAGGGGCACATTTTTTATGTGTGTGGAATTCTACGTGGCGTTGTGCTACAAGCGATGCTATCTGAGCGAGAAACAGTGCCCTAGACGGGACGAAAGGATAGACGAGGCACACGAGTCATTTTTTTTTTTTACCGAAAGAGACGGAAAATGTTGTCGTGTTATATAAAAACAGAAATAGCCTTTGCGATTACGGAACACTTCGGCGTTGTCGACACCGGGGCTATTATACGCTCGTGTGTGTAGTCGACACAATCTGTAACGCAAGGGAACTCAGCCACTTCATAACAGTCCGCCGGCTGCGGAAAGCGCACCAGCATCGCGTACAGGTGCTTTGCGATGAGTAGCGTAATACCCGTGCCACACGGGCATAGAAAATGACATTTGGTGGCGAAGGTCTTCAGTTCCCGAATGACATTCGTTTCGCCGGCGCTGCTACACGTCCAGAGCGAATGACATTTGACTTGATGATGTCGATCACAGCACCTTCCAAGTGAGCATTGAGTGAATAGCAATAAAAAAAATTAAGAAGCATTTACAAGCTTCATACACATCAGATAATCATCAAATGAAGAAATAAGCGTATTACGCTGTCCTAAGTTTTAGTTTCTTGCTTTGTTTTACAACGTTGCAGCCAACCGTAGCAAGCTAAGCCAACACTAGTCAGATCCAGAGCGTAAATAGACACTAAAATTGACAAGCGTTTCATTATCAATACTTTATTTCTTCGTATAACGTCAAAGCATCTTTTTAAGACTTTAGTGCAAATAAAAGACGGGAAATTTCATTTTTAGCTCAATATGATTTGTTTATACTTTCAGGTAAATCGCACTTCGCGAGCTGTGTTGTCGAGAGTAGGCATTTCTCAGTCAACTGAGTTCTGGCGAAGGCAGTTGGCGGCGAATGGCATTCGGATGAATGCCATTTTGTTCGCCGTGTGGCACCGCGCGAATGGCAATAAATCTGAAGGCGTTCGGGGGTAAATGCCATTTTTCTGCCCGTGTGGCACGGGTATAACTTTTCCGACTGCACGGCACACTGTCGACTACGGAATGCGGACGAATTTCCGGTGACTGGTTGGAATGTGCCAGCGCTGTAAAACCTGAGAGCCATCAGTAGCTGTACACTGGATGCACGGGCTGTCTTCGGTTGTCCCCACTTTCACGGAGCGGCAACATAACGAGCAGCTGCCCCACGGCGTTCTTCATGATCTGTACCTAGCGTGTAATTGTTGCTCGTCGTACAACTCCATCGGATTTCCTTGGTCAGTAATCTCTTCAAGCAATAGATACATAAGTACGCATGTCGTGTTAAATAATCTTCGCCATGTCATGCGTCACTGTTGGCAACGTCAGAGCATAGTCGTCTACGTAGAGGACCAGCGTCACTCCATTGCCGTGTACGTAGGGCCATTCATACGCGCACTTCATTCCCTCATTCTCAGGGCGCGCGCCCGCAAAAGGAAACGGGAGTAGCATTCATCTTGAAATTCGACCTGTTTCCGCGGCGTGTAGCGTTGCAAATTTTCGCAGACGTGATCATGAACGCCTCATCTACGCATCGCGCTTGTCAGCTCAAAATCGTCAAACCTGGTGAGTGCCTATTTAACGAAAAATAAAAAAGAGAGAAAACTCCATTGT